CACCTTGGTTATGGTAAGTGGTCACACAGCCTCCAGGTAAAGAAGCAAGATCCACCTCAAGGCCAAGTACGCCATCTCACAGTGAGGATGGTCAGCTGAAGACGTGATGCAGGAAGTTAGTTATTGCTGGTTGACTTAAGTTAAAAAGATGGAAAAATAATCTAAGACTCTACATTTAACTAGATGCGTCCGTTCACTTTTAGCACCAGTTAAGGGATGCCTTAACTAGATACGTTCACTTAATACTTGGTCACAGGACGCCTTAACTGGATACGTTCACTTAATACTAGGTCACAGGATGCCTTAACTGGATACGTTCACTTAATACTAGGTCACAGGATGCCTTAACTAGATGCGTTCACTTAATACTAGGTCACAGGATGCCTTAACTGGATACGTTCACTTAATACTAGGTCACAGGATGCCTTAACTGGATACGTTCACTTAATACTAGGTCACAGGACGCCTTAACTGGATACGTTCACTTAATACTAGGTCACAGGACGCCTTAACTGGATACGTTCACATAGCACCAGTTAATAAATAAACACCACTTCCTAGTTACAATAGAGTATCAATATAATTCTTATTTTATCATCGTACTTTAGTGTGAGTCAACCAGTTCACTACATTCTAACATCTTAAGTTATAAAATAAGTTTATCGTACGAGCTTTTGAGAATAACACTTCCTTAATAGTTATTCAGAAACTCTATAGTATATTTTCTTAATCTCAGTATGCAAATTTGAAGCAATATAATGGATAATTATTCAACCTTTTTTTTATTCAACTTCTCTTAAGCTGCAATTTCGTCTTGGTTCCGTCCTCCCTCTTAGCTATAAACTGTAGAGACTTTAATTATCTACATAAGACTTATTTATCTACAGGGATTGGTAAGACTTTCTACCTATTGGTCAGTGTTTCTTGATTCTTATTGGTCAACTTTTCCAGGATTTGCGGGTTTTGATTGGGCAGCTCGGTTATGTTGTGTGAGAGACAATAATAATAATAATAATAATAATAATAATAATAATATGTTGTGACGCGTCGACTTTTGTTGCTGGCGCATGACGTGACGCAGCTGTTTTTTTATATATTATTATGTTGCTGTTGTTGATTTTGTTGCAAATTAATGCCGGGCCAATATGTTGTCTGTGTACCCTCACCCTTCATCTACCTGTTACCATTGTTACCATTGTTATTCTCAATGCTGTTAATAATTTCTTCCTACAGCCTTCTTGCAATAAAAATTTTCCTTATCAAAACCTCGTGATATATGATACTATTTTTAACGTCACTACTTGAGGGAGGAATATATAGTTTGAGTGGAATGCTTATAAAAAACACTGGTTTGACCCCCGACATACCCCCGTATCATGCGTATAATCTCTGGTTCATTCCTTAGTTTCTAGCCAAGGTGATGGGAGAACGTCCGAAAAAAATACGACTCCTATTGTACGGTTGGCGTTAGGCTTTACGATACACTGCGTAAACACAAATTTATACGCATATTTTAAGTTTGAGTTATTTATTATTATTGTTAGTAGTAGTAGTAGTAGTAGTAGTAGTAGTAGAGTGAAATCTTAATACTCTCCCGTAGCTATACTGTTGTCTGGAGAGCGTATGTACTTATGTGTGTTTCATGGTAGAGTCTTAGAGCAATTTCTACGCCATATTGACCTCCAGCAATATTGAACCGTATGGTCATTATCACGGGCTGGGAAGTGATTATTGGCTCCACAAACACACACGCGCCATTAACATCTCCTGCACACACACACACACACACACACACACACACACACACACACACACACACACACTCCAAAATCAACAACTTACTACCTCTGAAGTCCTTGATACTACCCCTCCCTGTTTCCCACGTCCCACATTGCATTCATCCCTCAGCGACCCCAGACTCTTCCAGATCCTCCTCTTCCTTAAATCAGTATGAAAGAATAAAGTATTTGCATCAGTGGTTATAATTTACTAATTGAAGAAAATTATTTGACTAAAAAATTAAATTAAAAAAAAAAGTTGATTTCGGATTTGTAACTATTATAATCAGATTTCCATTCGATTTGTACAACTTTAATGAGATCCTTGATCCTCGTGCTGAGAAACTAAATGAGAAAATCAAGGAACACAACAAGATCACCACGCTCACAAATGTTGATACGTTCTCTTTCTTTCGTCAAAATATTCGTAACAGCACTGAAGACACAATCAATTATGTGGTCGGAAATGGTAGAATTACTTGCTGAGCTTTCATAGCTAATTTATTATATTTGACACTGACTTGGGGATCCAGCCAGATCAGTATTTTTTTTTTTTTTGAAGCATAGATCGGTTACACACTGTCATCGTTTTGTAAGTCCATCAACTCGCCGATCTGATCAGAGTCCATAGCAGTTAAAAAGAAATGGCTGAGTAATCCAAAAGGAAATGTTAAATTGTTTGAGATCGGTAAATCTGTCATTCAACTTAACTTGTAGGTTGAAAATATGTTCAGAGATGATTCAGAGGACATCATCCGACGGTTCACATTTGGGGTAGATGCGTGAATTAGGACAGATCATTCTTCAAGATCTGGGCCTTCCAAAAGTTCAGTTTGTTTATAAAACCTTAGATTTGGGTTTTGCAGTTCATGAGAGTTTTTTGTTCACCCTGCAGTTCCTTATTCAAAGCGTTCAGTTTACCCAAAATATCTGCAAGATATGAAATCAAGGCCTTTGATTCACTGGAGTCATCACGGTCCCCACCAAAGCCCAACAAGGTGCCGTACAGAGCATTGAACCTTTCCAGACAGTTGCCTTTCGAGAGTCATCGCACGGAGAACTATACATAATGTTCCCCAATTCCTCCCCTGGCCAAAATTCCTCCCCCGGGGGTCAAAGTGGACCCCGTTGAGAACCACTGCCTTAAGTGAACCCATCATACGACCCCTTAAGTGAACCAACCTCACGCTATCGGAATAAAGGCGAGGAAAATTCTTAACTTACGGACCCCCTGAAAATACGTCCATCGTTATTTAATGTTCATGAATATTTATCGCCATGACCCGCCACTGTTTCTCGCCCCGTCTTGCCCCAACTCTCCTCTCCTCGCCTCTCCTCGTCCCTCCTCGTCCCTCATCGCCTCTCCGGAGGGGTCCGATGAGTTTGGAACTGAGTAATCCTATTGTCTCGCTAGGATTGGTAGGCTTGATTGTTAGACATTTACTACGTATTGTGGTAGGCCTAATTTAGTTATTTAATTCAAAATATGAATTTAATCCGTTGCATTATGATTGGTGAATAACAGTATGCCTCATAAACCTTTATCAAACACCTTCATTCGTGGAGTCATATTGTTTCGCACAAATTTCTAAAGATTTTTTTTTATCGAGTGTACAGTATGAGTAAACACACAGCCACAGGTATGGATACAGACTTAGTTACAGATACAAGTACAGGGAATAATACAGGTACAGGTAAAAGGACAGGTACTGTAGTAAGATCCGGTACAGGTAAACGAAGATTCAGATACAAGCACAGGTACAGGCACCTGTCTATAATCAAGGCGTGAAATCTTATTCTGGAGAAGGAAAGTAAAAGGCCAACGTACACCTCTCTCTCTCTCTCTCTCTCTCTCTCTCTCTTATTACATTTTCACCTATGTTTACGAGCTGTGTGTGTGGCATCTGTCTACCCAGCGATTCTCTCACTCTCACTCACATTCCTCGCTCGTTTATGTCCTCCCTCCCCCCACCCACACAGCGCCGCCCCATCAGAGGATACAAAAAAAATAGGTACTAAAACATCGTGCGTAAAATTTTCAGTACCTTATAATTTTTCGGTGGGTGGTGTGGGTGGTGTGGGTGGTGATGTGGGTGGGTGGGTGGGTAGTGTGGGTGATGTGGGTGTATTCTAGTGTTGTTCTGCACCTATACACTATTTCTTAGGATAAATCTGTTATTATTGTATCCCTGACCATGCTGACGATGACGCTGACGACACCTACAGGAGTAATTAGTTAGCGGGTTACTTACATATTCCCAGACGTTTCACTCTCTACTAATGCCCTTTTGACCCCCCCTCCCCCCCCTCTCCCACTGCGTCCCCTCCTTCCCTCCCTCTTTTTTTTGTACCACCTTTAACCTTCTTCACCCCTACCCCCTACCCCCTACCCCCTCCTCCCTAACCTATCCCCTACCACCCCCCCTTCCCCCTTCCCTACCTGGATCACCATCGCAGCCTAATGACACAGGTAAGTTTAGTCGTTCAGGCTTCCGCTATGCAACATTATTACTATTATACTTATTCCTGAATTATTCATCTCTATGGCTTCTCTTTTCCTTCTGTTGTGGGTCTCAAGAAGGGGGAGGATGAAAGGGAGAGGGAGAGGAGAGGTGGGGGAGAGGAATAAGGAAGGCGGGGAGACTCTTAACTCTTTGGGCAGGGCGACCCAGCCAGCCTCAGGCCAACCCCCCCCCCCTAGCAGCAGCCTTGAAACCCGGCACTGACTCCCTTATCCCTTTCCTCCCTTATCCTACTCCATCTCACTCCCTTACCCCCTTCCTCTATTCCCTCCCTTATCCTACTCCATCTCCCTCCCTTACTCTACGCCTTCCAATCCCCTTCCACCTCCTCCTCCCCCTCCCAATCCCTCTCCACCTCTCAAAACTCCCATTTATTGGTCCTTGATACCCACAAATCCTCTGTACTCCCAACCAATCACAGGGCGACGTTGGCGTGATGCTCCGGAGTATATATAAAGGCAGTGGTGGTGCGGTTTTGTCATTCACAGGCCCAGAAGCATACCAGGTGGGTTGGTTGGCTGGCCTCTCTCGACCTCACCTCAGCCCAGGGAACACTTCAGAAAAATATACCCACACAGTGTAACGTGTAACAAGTTAATGTGATCAGTGACCTACTCTTTTGATCTTGTTTGGAAATAAGACTAGTTTAGCTTGTTTTGAGAGTTGGAAGTAGTTAGTAGAGAACGAAGTAGTTTGTTATAGTTACGGTGGAACTATCTGTCGTTATGGTAAAGGTTATTGTTGTTTTTGTTGTAATCACTACATACACTACACAACAACAGCATTACAATTGGTTATATCTAAGGAGTAAGTGGTTTAAGTTACGTTACGTTACGTTATGTTAGGTTACGTTAATTACAGTAATTGGTTGAGAATGATTCAAATAACTAATTTTATCTGAGGTGCTAATTAGTTGAGGTTAAACTGTTACACCACACTTGTTAAATTAGTTACCAATGAATATAGTTTGTTAGTTATATCTTACAAGAACGACTTAGAGTATAAGACAGTGATAAGTGTTGTATAATACGTGAGTTTTCTTCCTCAACAAATTAACAGATAAACGAGTCATTACTTCTTTTTTTATCAAACAAATATTACCGGAAGTGAGTCATTAAATTCTGAAAACAAATTATTTTTATTATTAGTATTATTATTATTATTATTATTAATAGTAGTAGTTAGTAGTAGCAGCAGTAGCAGTAGTAGTAGTAGTAATAGTAGTGCTAGAGATGTTATTACCATCATTAAAATCACCGTTATTACTATAATTAACTGATAACTGACACACACACCAACTGGTAGAAACATAAAAACTGGTAAGGAACTGTTTCACCTGGCACTGAATTGTAATACGTGGCACTGAACTGTAATACGTGGCACTGAATTATAATGCGTGGCACTAAACTATAATACGTGGCACTAAACTATAATACGTGGCACTGAATTGTAAAACGTGACACTGAACTGTAATACGTGGCACTGAATTATAATGCGTGGCACTAAACTATAATACGTGGCACTAAACTATAATACGTGGCACTGAATTGTAATGCGTGGCACTAAACTATAATACGTGGCACTAAACTATAATACGTGGCACTAAACTATAATACGTGACCCTAAACTATAATACGTGGCACTAAACTATAATACGTGGCACTAAACTATAATACGTGGCATTAAACTAACACAGAAAACTGTTTAGTCTATTCAATAAATGATCAGGTGTTGAGAGAAGAGGTTAAGGAAGTGAATGTGGTGACAGACAGAGAGACAGACAGACAGACAGAGGACCATGTCTAGACGGCAAAATATATAACTATTACAATGGTAATTTCTATCAACGTAACAATAAAATTTATTTTGGTCATATTATAATAGAGGTGGTGCACTGGTGATGGTGATTATAGTGGATTATAGAGGTAAAGCAGCGATGATATAACTGAGTACAGGTAGACAGTGATGATACAACTGAGTACAGGTAGACAGTGATGATACAACTGAGTACAGGTAGACAGGTATTTTCCCATTCATAATTAAAGAAGATTTGCACCTGTAAGATTTCTGCTCACGATATTGATGATGGTGAAAGTGACGAGTGGTTTTAATTTACCACCATTCATATATACAAAGGTACATACGATATATATATTACCCTAATAGATGTACGTATAAAATGGGCCTGTGTGTGTGTGTGGTCAGTGGGAAGGATGCTGTACTTATTGTTGTACTTTTGAAATGATGTGTTTGTATATAAAAAGAAAAACATTAAACACGCGAATGGGAATTTACACACACACACACACACACACACACACACACACACACACACACACACACACACTATAAATATAGAGAATAGCGTTTCTAATAATTTTTTCCTGTCTCTCCCCACCTCTCCTTCCTTCCCTCCATCCCCGTTCACCCTCCTTTGACTCATCCATCACCCGTTTTGCCTCCACCCCTCATCCTTCTTTCGTCCGTCGACCACCGTGCCACTTTCCTCCTCACCCGCTCCTCTCCCATCTCTACCTTAGACGAAGTTCAACAACAACAACAGCACCAGCCATGACTCGCCTTGCTCTCGCCGTAGTCCTCGCCCTTGCCTCCGTCGCCACCGCCCGCATGGCCTACCAGCTACCGGCCGATGTCGAGCTGTACATGACGGCGCCCATCCAGTCCACCTTCTCCTGCGACAACCTCCCCTATGGCTACTACGCCGACGTCGACAACAACTGCGAGCTCTTCCACGTGTGTTTCCCCGTCGCGGACGAAATCGGTGCCCTGGTTGAGACGGCTCACTTCACCTTCGCTTGTGGCAACGAGACCCTCTTCGACCAGGAGACTCTAACCTGTGCCCACAGGGAACTGGCATTCCCCTGCAGCGAGTCTCGTTCCCTCTACGAGCTCTCCAACGTCGAGTTCTTCAGGATCCCCGAAGAGATCTAAATGCCTCCTACTACTGCGACACCCACAACATTTTTCACTCGACTTTGGACACTCGTGTTGACCTAAGGACCCTGTGTCTTCTCCACTTCAATTCTATAGTCTCATTGATATTTTGACTTCCATCTAAGTGACGTGGTAATGATGTGACAGTGGCGTTAGTGTGTGTGTGTGTGTGTGTGTGTGTGTGTGTGTGTAGATTAAATGACCTCTAGTTTATACATCCAGTTTGCAAATAAAACTCTACTGAATATGTTAGTTTCATTCCATCACTATTTACCTCAGTACTCCACTATACACCCTCACTGTAAGTATGTTGTAAAAGACTCCCTCTGGGTGAGTCAGGTTCGTCTCAAGTCCTCCCATTCATGAGGACTACCCCATGAACTTCTGAATTGAATAATCAACCGGAAGTTTGTATCAGAAATAGATAATAAGAATCTATAGACAATTGTTCTTCTCTGGAAATCGTCGTCAATGTGTTAAATAAGGTGGCAGGTCACGAGAGAGAGAGAGAGAGAGAGAGAGAGAGAGACCTCCTCCATTCTCAAACAAAAACATCAATTTCCTGGGCATTATTTTCCTCTGTCTGTGAGGTTGTTAGAATATTGATCTGTAATAAAATGACTACAGTGCATTTATCATTACAAAGTACTCTAGACAGGCTTCAATAGGTCAGATGTTGTTTCATTGTAAAGGAGAAAACCCGGAGTGGAATATACACTAAAAACAAACCAATATATTTACAAGAAAAACTCACGCAAGAACATTACAAAGCAAAAAACAGAATGGTAACTTAATTTAAATTTCCAATAAACATCTTAACATTTTACCTAACAATAATAACAAGAATAACTTATCTGTTGAGTTGAATACAGGTCAGCTACATATGTAAAGAAAATAACTACCCAGACAAGATAACTGAGGAAGCAGCTCCCCCCTACAGCAGTGTCAGGAGTAAATCCAATACCTGATTCACTGGTAACGCGCTGTAATCCCGAGTCATCTCACCTAAGGATTCATGACAGTAACTAATCCTTTTATTTACCTGTTTTTAAAAACTTTTACTCGTAATTATATATGGAAAATTGTTTAATGGCTTACCTCCATAAAAAAAAATTGACCAATCATCGTAAAATTTTGGGATAAGAACTAAACCAATGACGAGGTTTAGTATTACAAACGACGTGTGTTGAGAATTAGTGCAATAGAGTGAGTAATATTTTGTAATAGTAGTTGTTGATGTTGTTGTAAAACGGTAGTGTTGTTAGTGCTAGAAGTAGGAGTAGTAGTACAGGTAGTAGTAGTAGTAGTAGTAGTGCACTTTACTCTCACTTCTTGTCAGTTTATTTTGAACAGTTCAAAACTCGAAGCAATTAAGTATCATTCGAATCAGTTTCACAAAAAAGACTATCACGTAAACAATACTGGAGACACACTTCATAAGAGTGTGAGTCAATAGGGCAAATATTAATAACACTGATAATATTACAATATATACACTGGTAACATTATCGAAAATGGATGACGCACTGCTAGAAGACTGTTTGAGAGCTTTATGGGTGCGAACACCGTAAGACACCCATACACCAAGTCCTTCAACTTGATGTTACTATGTTACCTACCTTAGTGGATTAAATATATGACAGCTGGGGGTGGAGGGGGTAAAGCTGGGGATGGAGGAAGGGAAGTAGTGGAGATGACGGAGGAAGTGGACTGTGTATAACCAAGTTTCATGTCTCCAAGGGCGAATTTAAATGAGTTTACAATAGTATACTATGTATATATTTAAAGAAGAAAACGATTCAAATATTATATGAAAGAAAACTAAATATTTTATGTACAACTAAAATAATTTTTAACCATTGTCCGGCTAATGTAAAATGTGATAAGTCTAGTATAAAAATCTCATTACTTAATTTACTTGGAATCTAATATTACCTCAAATTATTCATCCACTCCTATCAGAATTCATCCGTACTTGTCGCTACAGTTGGGCAGTAAGAAGGCTTTGGACAGTGTAAGGGGTTTATATTCCAGTCTAATGATTGTTGGTACAGTGTTGTTCAGTGTTGGGTTTGTTCTCTGTATCTGAAGCAGGTGTTGCTCATGGGTAGTTCGAACCGAGTCACAGTGCAGGGTATAACCGTATGGCTGGTCACTTGGCTCCCGTCCTCTGACTCAGTTGGTCAACCTGCCACCTGTGAGTACTCCATTTTATTTATAATCGTATGTGGTTTATGGTGTTATTGGTGTTTTATGAGTGCCTTGTGTAATGTTTGTTAACTACTATGTATGTACAACTTAGTGCGTAAGAACTGTACAAATATAATAGCCTGTTGACAGTTACTAGTAAAATAATTCGACAATATTCTAAAGGGACTGTATTGGTGCAGCTCTTTTTATTCATGGTCACGTTGGTGTGAACTGCTGCACTCTTAGCCTTGTATGTCAGCTCGTCAACTAGGAGACCATCAGCCCTAACCTCTGTGCTGTTCCCCCCGGGTCTATTATCAAGTACCTGTGCCGGTTAGGATACTTACTCTCCTGTAAAGTTGTTATGAAGACCCCAATTTACCACCTGTGCCGTGTGTGTGTGTACAAGACCTCACACTCGACATCCAGTATATACACTCCGGACATATATTTCACCCGGCAGACCGACACTTCCATACCACACATGTTGATGTTGCTATGTACTGTCTTCATGCCAAATTATCAGGGTAAATACTTGTAAATAGATATCTTTTGTTACAATTATCCATAACCTTGCTCAATATCCTTGGTGAAGGTGGAAGTGGTCGCACCCTCCTGCCCTCCTGAATGTTAAAAGCCGAGTGTAAGGCAAAGCTCAATCCGGGCGTAACCAGCCTAATCGTACCTAACCTAACCAACCAGAGTGTCATGATAATGTTTTGTTTCTGTTTTTTACGATACTTATGTTCTTATCTCAGGTGGAAGTACACACACACACACACACACACACACACACACACACGTATATATGAGAAGAAAGCGTGTTTTTTTTCGGGAGGAGGGAGGAGAAGGGGAAGGGGAGTGAGAAAAACCTACCTGATGCCATTTGATCACAGCATCGTTTTCCCGGCCACTGACCCCCACCACAGAGTAAGAAAAGAAATAACCGTATCCCAAAATACCTGAACTGAACCTGCATTCCGAGACTGATCCCGAACCCACCTGAACCCTTAAGTTTATGTGAAGTTAATTTACGACTTTTTTTTAATGAATTCTGTTCCATAAAAGTCCCATACGGCTTTTGTATTAATATACCTATTCATTAACTAGTTACTAGCAGTGGAATAAGAGGCATCTAGCTGAGGGTGAACAGGTAATTCTATAGGCTATAAAGTTTGTGAGTCTCGTACAGGTAAATTAGGAAAACGCCACTACAGGTTAATGAACTGTAAATTTATGTATGTTGAAGTTGTAATGAACTGTCCCTTTTTTATGATTGGTCTGGTCGTTAAACTCAAGACCTAACTGGGAATACCTGAAGAATCTACCTAAAGAATCTCTAGCCCAGCTTACTTCACCTAAAGATTAACCACTTAACACTATTTGGGGGACGAGGTTAGGTTAGGTTAGCGATTGGGTGGTTAATCTTTAGGTGAAATAAGCTGGGGTGGAGATCCATCGGGTGATTCGCTAAATAAATCTACCGTATTATGTATATTTACAGCACAGTAATTCCTTGTTTGTTTTTATTTATTATAAGAGGATTAGACCACCCGGTGACAGGTCACTGACTCACATCAGGGCCTGAGGAGAGGGGGAGAATATAATAATAATAATAATGATAATAATATATATATATATATACATATATATATATATATATATATATATATATATATATATATATATATATATATATATATATATATATATATATATATATACATATATATATATATATATATATATATATATATATATATATATATATATATATATATATATATATATATATATATATATATATTTCATGTAAATCCACAATGAAAACGTGGATAAGATAAATCTTGATAAAATCACACGGGAAAATGGAAACAACGGAGTACCTTAGCTTTCGTCTTTATTCAAGACATCTTCAGAGACAACTGGATTACATGGACAGAGAGAGGCTTAAATATACAGGGTGACCTAAAAACATGAGGTCAGGTCATAAAGATGACATCCACTAATCCCCACACCAACACAACCGTAGAGGAGCTTAAGAGAAGGGTGGTGACGTGACTAGACAGGTCAGGTCAGAAAAAAGGGACCCACTAAATAACTATCATACATCAAGATCAAAGGTTTTCAAAGCATTTTTAACCTTGGGCCACTGACAAATAAATTTATGTAACATATTATCAGTTTTGAACTGACCATCACTAAGGTTTATTGATTTTAATTCCTTAATCAAACTAGCTTCAACCAGAAGTCTTTCTGTGACACAAGATGATTTGAATACTTCTAAGCTTTTTCCCAAGCAATGGGGTGATTATTATTCCTAACATGAACGAACAAGGCACTGCTTTCAGATGATTCTGATAATACTCTTATATTTGTTTGATTCCGAGCTGCAGTGTTTTTTCCATATCTGACCTACATAATTACAATTACATTTGCTACATGGGGTCTGTCGCTTACTTCATTTACATTCAAACTTGGGCTATTCCTTATTAACATATTGGTAATGGTTGAGTCATACTTGAAAACAACATTAATATTTAGAAGCTTGAGGGACCGAACTAAAGGGACAAATTCATCGCGATAGGGCAGAGTCAAAATATTCTTAAGTGTAGGAACTTGTCTGGTTACAGAGGAATGAAAGGATTTTTTAGCCCTTTTAAAGCAACGATCAACAAACACAGAAGGGTACCCAAGTTTCTGTGCAATAGAACGAATGTGTTTAAATTCGTCGTCAATAAATTCAGAGTCACAAATACGCAGACATCGTAGGAACATAGCAGAAAAGACTGACATTTTGGTAGACTCAAGGTGATTTTATCAAGATATATATATATATATATCATGTAGATCCACAATGGAAACGTGGATAAGATAAATCTTGATAAAATCACACAGGGAAAACGGAAAAATTAGAGAGAACCTTAGCTTTCGTCTTTATTTAAGACATCTTCAGATGTCTTGAATAAAGACGAAAGCTAAGGTTCTCTCTATTGTTTCCGTTTTCCCTGTGTGATTTTATCAATATATATATATATATATATATATATATATA